AGGCTATGCATTTGTGTACATGCTGTAGGTACCACCACAAGGTAACCATGTTATCCGTGTGCCTAAGCTGACCAGAAGACAGTGGGTAGATAAGCTGTTGTCAGATACTGGTAGGTGCTTTGAAAGCTGTCGGATGCGGCCTAAAAATTTGATTAGGTTGCATAACATACTACGTGACTGCTATGGGCTAAAAGGCAGTAGGGAACTTGAATCCATTGAAGCTTTAGCCATGTTTCTATGGGCATGTGGTACAAATCAATGTTAGAGGCAAATGCATGAGAGATTTAGGAGGGGGTTGGGGACATGTAGCAAGGTATTTTCCCATGTTCTCGTAGCCATGACTAGATTTGCAGATGACGTGCTTAGGCCTAGGGACACCACTTATTCAGTACTGCCGGCTGAATTATTGGAGTACACGCCGTTTTTTATGGCTGCATAGGCGCCATGGATGGCACTCACATAGATGTGATAGTTGATCAAGGAGTCCGTGATAACCATATTAATAGGAAAGGGAAGCCAACACAAAATGTGGTTGCGGTTTGTGACTTTGACATGAGGTTCACGTATATTGGCAAGGGGACAGAGGGTTCAGCACATGACATGCGGGTGAAAAAGAAGGCAGACAACGATGCCTCTTTCCCACATCCACCATTAGGTTAGTTTAACTTAGTCCGATTGGTTGATGTATTGATGCAAAGGTTTCATGTTGGAGCTAATTGTATTTGAACTGATGTCTTGCTATGTATGTATGCAGGCCGCTATTACTTGGTGGACTCCGGTTATGCACTTCGCCCCGGATATCTGACGCCGTATCCAAATAAGAGGTACTGGGTGAAGGAGTTCCAAAATAGGGGGCCTTGTGATGCGCAGGAGGTGTTCAACCGGCACCATTTCAAGTTGTGTAATGTCATAGAAAGGACATTTGAGGCAGCGAAAGCTAAGTGGCAGATATTGAAAGGCGTACCTCACTATCCGGGGACCAAACAAACACAAATAATTATTGCTCTTTGTGCACTGTACAACTATGTGCATGAGATGGAGGGTCAGCACCAACCAGGGAGGTTCAGGCAGGCGCCAAACCTTGGGCCTTTGAGTCAAGTGGCAGCTATGGCGTTGAGTGATCCTAATGATATGGAACAGGTCCGCGACTGGATTACATATGGACTTGGACTCATTGGGAAGACAACGTAAGTGCAACATTTATGGTATTGGTAGAAATCAGTGTAGCCATGCAAATTTTCTTTGGCTGCCTAGTTTGGGGTTAATGAGGATATGTACACATGCAGGTGAAGGAAGTGTCGACATGGTGCACGGGTAGCAGAGGATGGCTGCAAGAAGATGGTTGTGATCGGTTTTTGCTTCACATGGATGTAATGATGCCCTGAGTTTTGCTCTGCTTGAAAAATGTTTCTCACTTTTGTCTCCAGATTGTGCTACTATAGGAGGCTGGACCTGTTGCTGGTACAAATTGGTTGGCATGGTCTTATCCATCCCGTGGAAGGAATGGGTAGCATCCCAATCTTATGAGCAGCTGTGGTGTCATATATTTGTTGTCATTGGATGTAATGTTGGCTCAAGGTTTCATTTTCCACTTCGAAGTGTCGAGACTTGTACTATTTTATTTTACTTTTAGCAATCGTGGGTGTGCTGTTCGGCCTCTCTGATGTCTGATCTTCGTGCTTTTCTGTATTAAGCATGTATGTGCTTGTGATAGTCGTATACCTGTCTTCGGTGAATCGGAAAATTTGGTACTTTAGATTCATGTGATTGATGTAAGGGTTGTCCATGGATGTTGTTTGGTGCTGGTGTTTGAATTCAATTGTATTGGCGTCATATTTTGAATTCAAATGGAGCTGCTGCAGTTCAGCTGGTTTTGGCTGCAGTTCGGCTGGTTTTGGCTGCTCTCCGTCACTGTTACAGAATCAGCCAGCGGCCGGAAGCCTCCAGCCGAACTGGGCCAGTTCGTATCAGCGTGCGGGCAGATGTAGGCTGGAGCTGCATAGGACTAGGTGTATAGCAGCAGCGGCAACAGCGGCAACAGCCGTCCTTTAGTACTAGGGGACAGGGCGAGTAGTTCCCCGTGTGGACAAGAAGGTCTCGAAGTTTCTCGATCCGTTTTTTCCAGTCTTGCTATTGCCGTGTGCGCGGATTGTTCGTGCATTCGTCTCGTTGTCGCGCCGTTATGGAACACACGCTGCTCTGTACTTGTCTCTGCTTCCAAAATCAGCCGGATCAGCTACTGACAGTGACAGGACATAAATAAATAAATAAACACGGATACAAATACACGACCGAGATACGAGAGCTCTCCTAAGCAAACGACGTGAAAATTAGGGAAAAAATTTTGGGTGATAAGCGCTTGTGCGCGATTAGGAATTGTCGAATTGACCATTTTCGAATCTAACTCCCTAAGTGAGATGTGATTTTCCCAAGATGACAAGTGCTTATACGCGATGAATATACTGCTAAAACTTTATATTTATTTTTTTAGTATCTTAATTATCTTAAATGAATAAACTCAAAACTATAAATTTATAGATCACATCTTGTACGCGATTAATATACTGTGGAAATATTATTTAATTTTTTGAGCATCTTAACGACCTCAAATGAAAAAACTCAAAACTATAAAGTTGTAGATCTCGTCGAGAACTACAATTTTCATATAAAAATCATCTTCATCCAAGGTCATACGAAAAAGATATGATTTTTTTCCTAATTTTCACATCATTTTCTTAGGAGGGGCAAAATGGTCATTTTCAGATCAACTTAACAGCAAACTTAACAGATTTTGACGGAAATAGCAATGAGAGAAGTGTGAATTATTCCGATGGCAGTGAGGGAAGTTCGAAAATTTCGATGGCAGTAAGAGAAGAGATAAAATTTCTAATGACATTGAGGGAATTGACTCTAATTAAGACGAGACAACCACACAAAAACCACGCGTAACAAGAAAATATGAGTAGAGCCTACAGTACCAAAGCTCTACCTAACCTGATGTATAGTAGTGGCGGGAGAGACTGCAGTCATCGACGTACTTATATGCAAGTACTTCTTCCGTTTTAAAATAAAAGCACGTCTTTTTGAGAAATCCAATTTTTTAAGTTTGACCATATATATAAAAAATACTATATTGATATTTATAATATGTAATAAGTATATTAAATGTATAGTAAAATATATTTCCATAATAAATAATATATTGCATATAAATGTTTATAATATTTTTTTATAAAACTATCCCAACTTAAAAGAAATTGACTTATCAAAAATCAAGATGTGTATTAAACAAATACTGTATGTCTGGTGCCATTTCCAAGGAACCGATTAGAGGATCACGTGTACTCTCCATCCCTGGGTATGCATGCTCCTGAGAGAACGTCAGATCAACCAGACAAGAAAATGAATCTTCTAGTACTAGCTCGTGAAAAGAATGTAACTATGGATTACGTGCCACGAAAAGTGATTTATGTTTGACTAAATTTTTAGTAAAATAATATTCACAGTTATGTCTTTAAATTAATTTATTATGAAAATATATTTCGTAATTAATCTGATAGTATTTATTTGATATTATAAACATTGGTACTTTTTTCTATAATTGGTCAAACTTAAGGTACTAAAATGTGACATTGTGTTAGAATTACATTCTTTTAGGACGGAGGTAGTATTTTGCAGAAGAATTTAAACCTTCTAGTACGTGTACTCTATCGGTTCAAAAACAAAAGTACATCATGTTTTTCGAGAAATTAATCCTTTTTTGGTTTAACTAGATATAAAACAATATCCATATTTATATCGATAAATATGTTTGTTATAAAATTATACATGACGAGTATCATATATACTAGTATGTTTTAGTATACTTTTTATATTTGAAGATGAACAGTCATTTTGGCGCAGAGGAAGTAGATGCTTCAGAAAGTTCTAAGGATACTTTGAATGGCCATGGCTATTCTAGAAGAGTCGGCAGCGACGGTGCAGCGCGTACGCCCAACCGGTGTGGCGGTGTCCACCTTTGGCCCTCAAGACTTGTTGACTCAGTATCCAGAAGCTAGGAGTAGACAACATGTGTTCGGCTGCTGGGTTTCAGCTGTTGCGGCTGGCTGGCCCCAGGTGTCGGCTACAGTAACCTATGAGGGAGAGCAGCCCAGCCGCTACAGTACCTGTGATGTCAGCTTCATGTTCATGATGATCCATTTCATCTTGTAGAATGAGAATTTTCCGCTAGTTCTCCGAGTAGTTCCCCGTGTGGACAAGGTCTCGAAGTTTCTAGGATGAGAATATCTCGGTCCGTTCTTCTATTACCGTGTGCGCGGATTGTTCGTGCATCCGTTATGGAACACACGCTGGCACGCCGCTGTACTTGCTTGCTTCCAAAATCAGCCGGATCACAGCGACTGACACTCTGACAGTGACAGGACAAGTGAGCTGCTCCTATATAAATAAATTGACACGGGTAGAAGTACTAGTACACACGACCGAGATACGAGAACGCGGAGGCAGCATAACACTGACAACACCAACAGGGCAACAGATGCGACCACCTCCTTGGTCCCCGGCACCTACGGCGGCGGCCTCACGCGAGGCCATGGAGGCGGCAGCCATCGTGGCCGCCCTGACGCACGTCATTGCCGGTGGCCGTACAGAAACGCTGACGCAAACGCAAACGCCAGCGCCGCCCGCGCCGTCACTCGTCGTGCCGCCGTGTCCGTGGGCGTCAACAATGGGCTGCCGTTGCCATCATGGACACGTCACGCCGGCGGCGAGCCAAGGCGGGACCGGGACGTCCCCGCCGCCGCACATTATCCCGGGTATCTCTGTTCGCTCTCCTGCACCCGTCGCGTCGCCTCGCCCGGGTGGATGCTCACGTGGTTCTCTTGTCTTCAGCCTCTGCAGTGGAAGATCGCATTGCGCCCGCGCCGCCGCGCTTGACGGCGGCGTCACCATCACAAGCTCCGACGGCACGCACGTGGGCGCAGGGGACGACAGAGAAGGCGATGCCGCCGCCGGCGCGGCGTAGCTACCGCGGGGTGAGGCGTCGGCCATCGGGCAAGTGGGCGGCGGAGATCCGGGACCCCAAGAAGGCGGCGCGCGTCTGGCTCGGCACGTTCGTGACCCCCGAGGCCGCGGCGCGCGCCTACGACGCCGCGGCGCTCCGTCTCCGCGGGAGCCGCGCCAAGCTCAACTTTCCAGAGGACGCGTCGTCGCTCCGTCGCCCGCCGGTCGCCGTGGGTTCTTCTCCGCAGTCATCCCGTTCTCGCTTGGATTTGGATGGCACCACGGGCAGCTCACCGCCGTGGCCGCAGATGATGTACTGGAGGGACGCCGGGAATGATGGGTTCGTGGTGGGCGGTGAAGATAATGGCCGGTTCTTGGGTTTCTGGAGCATCGGAACTTCGCCGCCGTCGCCCAAGCCTGTATGTTCCAGTGCTCCCGTCGTCGTCGCTCCTATGCCTTGTGTGAGCCACGGAACAGGGAGCAGCGGAATAGAAGACGCGGGGAATGATTGGGACTTGGCCACTCGGGAGAAAAGCAAGAGCCTAACAGACTTGTAGGCAGGGCCGTGCCGGTAAAATTTGAGGCCACGTACCAAACTATAAAATAAGGCTTTATCCTTTGATAAAAAGGATTATAATAATTATCAATTCTGCATGCATATCTTATATACATATTAACCTTAGAACACTAGCTGTAATCATACGAAGGAGAAATAGTTATAGTTCACGTAATGATTGCCTGGAAAAAAAAGTTCGTATAATGATACGAATGATAGTAAATTCAAATCGAAGGAAAAGATTAAAATGACTAGGACCTTTTTTATAACAGTCCTGACTCATGCCTGTTCCAGTGCTAATTCATCACGAAAGTTAGCTGGCAGTCACTAGCAGTTTGCACACATCTGGTGATGGACTAAAGACGGAGTGATGGTTGGTAGCTAGTAAATCCAACAAAATTTAGGGCCCTGGTAATTAGAGGCCCTGTCCCTCGAACCGTTTGCACGCCCCTCGACACGGCCCTGCTTGTAGGATAGCAATCACCGTCTCGGCTTTCTTTGTTGTTGGTTTTTTTTTTCGAGTTTCTTTTCTTGTTTCTTTTTACTTCTGTGTACATACACGTGATATTGTTTTACCCTTTTTTTAATTCAAATTATATTTCCGGTAGGCCAATTTCTCAAGTAAATTTTCATCCACAAAGTAACGGATAGAACGTGCCATCAACTCTCAAAAGTCGGCTCAAACTACGCTATCGCACAGGTTCATATTTCTCAAATCAGTTCAACCCATATTATCTTATAGTAGTCTGTACACCTGCATTTCTGGGTGACATCCACATTAATACATTGTGTAACTTTTTCTTCATGTGATAATATACTCTCTATCAACTATCTTTATCAGGGATGGCAGTGAGTCGGGTAAGATGCAGATAGAGCAAATACCCACCGACAAGGATACACGAAACATTAGGGGCCTATTTGTTTGGAAGTCTTAGGAGTTTTTGGACCTTTCAAAAGTAAAAGAAAAGCTCTTGGAAGCCAAAAAGCCCAAAATATTTTATTCTAATTATGTTTTGCGTGATTTTATAGTTCATAAAACATCAACAAATATATATGTGACAAGAATTTTTTATCATATCTTTTTTAAAATAAATATATTTTATTAAATTATATATTAAGTAAAAAAATTGTTGTGTTGTGTGTGTGTGGTGGGGGGCATATGGCCCCTCCTGCCCCTCTGGCTCCTGGCTCAAGTCACTAGCTTCATCTCAGGTGAAAAATGAAACATGCATCTGTTGGGTGTCGGATATTTTAACTGATGGCATCAACAAGAAGGTCTACATGCCGAGTTTTGTGCCAATTGGACCTTTCCATCGAGATAAGACCACTTTAGAGTGAAAAAGCGAAAGATATTATGTTTCATAATGAATCTAATAAGTCGTGTTTAGATTTCATTGATGCATCATATGAGATTGTAAAAGAATTGAAAAGTTTTTACAATAAGCCAATATTTGGAGAGACAAACGATTGATGGAGTTTTCTTACAATGTCACAATGTCACAACAACAACAAAGCCTTTAAGTCCCAAACAAGTTGGAGTAGACTAGAGTTGAAACCCAGCAGAAGCAATCAAGGTTCAGGCACGTGAATAGCTATTTTCCAAGCACTCTTATCTAAGGCTAAGTCTTTGGGTATATTCCATCTTTTTAAGTCTTCTTTTATTGTCTCTACCCAAGTCAACTTCAGTCTTCCTCTACCTCTCTTCACGTTACTATCCTGGCTTAGGATTCCACTACGCACCGGTGCCTCTGGAGGTCTCCGTTGGACATGTCCAAACCATCTCAACCAGTATTGAACAAGCTTTTCTTCAATTGGTGCTACCCCTAATCTATCACGTATATCATCATTCCGAACTCGATCCCTTCTTGTATGACCGCAAATCTACCGCAACATACACATTTCAGCGACACTTATCTGTTGAACATGTCGTCTTTTCGTAGGCCAACATTCTGCACCATACAACATAGCAGGTCTAATCGCCGTCCAATAAAACTTGCCTTTTAGCTTCTATGGTATCCTTTTGTCACATAGGACACCAGATGCTTGGCGCCACTTCATCCACCCTGCTTTAATTCTATGGCTAACATCTTCATCAATATCCCTGTCTCTCTGTAGCATTGATCCTAAATATCGAAAGGTATCCTTCCTAGGCACTACTTGACCTTCCAAACTAATATCTTCTTCCTCCCGAGTAGTAGTGCCGAAGTCACATCTCATATACTCAGTTTTAGTTCTACCGAGTCTAAAACCTTTGGACTCCAAAGTCTTCCGCCATAACTCCAGTTTCTGATTCACTCCTGTCCGGCTTTCATCAACTAGCACTACATCGTCCGCGAAAAGCATACAACAAGGGATGTCCCCTTGTATGTCCCTTGTGACCTCATCCATCACTAAGGCAAATAGATAAGGGCTCAAAGCTGACCCTTGATATAGTTCTATTCTAATCGAGAAGCCATCCGTGTCTCCATCACTTGTTCGAACACTAGTCACAACATTGTTGTACATGTCTTTAATGAGCCTGACATACTTCGTTGAGACTTTATGTTTGTCCAAAGCCCACCACATAATATTCCTTGGTATTTTATCATAAGCCTTCTCCAAGTCAATAAAAACCATGTGTATGTCCTTCTTCTTCTCCCTATACCGCTCCATAACTTGTCTTATTAAAAAAATGGCTTCGATGGTTGACCTTCCGGGCATGAAACTAAATTGGTTCATAGAGACCCGCGTTATTGCTCTCAAGCGATGCTCGATAACTCTCTCTCGTAGCTTCATAGTATGGCTCATCAACTTAATTCCCCGATAATTAGTACAACTTTGAATATCCTCTTTATTCTTGTAGATCGGTACCAATATACTTCTCCTCCACTCGTCGGGCATCTTGTTCGATCGAAAAATATGGTTGAACAGCTTGGTTAGCCATACTATAGCTATGTCCCTAAGGCATCTCCACACCTCGATTGGGATACCATCCGGTCCCATCGCCTTACCTCCTTTTATCCTTTTCAACGCCTTTCTGACATCAGATTCTTGGATTCTCCGCACAAAGCGCCTATTGGTGTCATCAAAAGAGTTATCCAACTAAAAGGTTATGTTCGTATTCTCACCATTGAACAATTTGTCAAAATACTCTTGCCATCGATGTCGGATCTCATCCTTCTTCACCAAGAGATGCTCCCTTTTATCCTTAATGCACTTAACTTGGTTGAAGTCCCTTGTCTTTCTCTCACAAACCCTAGCCATCCTATAAATGTCCTTCTCTCCTTCCTTCGTACTCAAATGTAGGTAAAGATCCTCGTACGCTCTACCCTTTACCACACTTACAGCTCGCTTTACAGTATTCTTTGTCACCTTGTACTTCTCTATGTTGTCCACACTCCTATCATGGTACAAGCGTCTATAACATTCTTTCTTCTCCTTAATAGCCCTTTGGACTTTCTCATTCCACAACCAAGTATCTTTAGCCTCGCCTCTACTTCCTTTGGTTACTCCACACACCTCTGAGGCCACCTTCCGAATGTTGGTTGCCATCTTCTCCCACATGTTGTTTATGTCCTCTTCTTCCTTCCAAGAGCCCTCTTTGATAACCATTTCCCTGAATACCTCTGACGTCTCCCCTTTCAGTTTCCACCACTTTGTTCTTTCAATCTTAGCTTGTTTATCCCTACGGGCACGCACCTGAAAACGAAAGCCTGTCACCAAAAGCTTATGTTGAGAAACAACACACTCCCCTGGTATCACCTTACAATCCAAGCATGCCCGTTTGTCCATTCTTCTTGCGATGACAAAGTCAATCTAGCTAGAGTGTTGTCCGCTACTGAAGGTCACTAGATGAGATTCTCTCTTTCTAAAGAAAGTGTTGGCTATCATCAGGTCAAAAGCTACCGCGAAGTCTAGAATTTTCTCCCCCTCCTGATTCCTACTACCATACCCAAAACCTCCATGAATTGCCTCGAAACCCACGCTTGTAGTACCTACATGCCCATTAAGATCTCCTGCTATAAAAAGCTTCTCACTACTAGGTACAGCTCTAATCAGGCCATCTAAGTCTTCCTAGAACTGTCTCTTAGCACCCTCGTTGAGGTCTACTTGGGGGGTATACGCACTAATTACGTTCAAGACCATATCACCAACGACAAGCTTGACTAAGATAATCCTATCTCCTTGCCTTCTCACTCCCACCACACCATTCTTGAGGCTCTTATCAATCAAAACTCCTACTCTATTTCTATTCGCGACTGTCCCTGTGTACCAAAGCTTGAAACATGTATTATCCACCTCCTTCGCCTTCTGACCCTTCCATTTAGTCTCTTGAACGTATAATATATTTACACGTCTCCTAGTCGCGGTATCAACTAATTATCTTAACTTACCTGTAAGCGACCCTACATTCTAACTTCCTAAACGGATCCTGGTTGGTTTGACTAGCTTCCTTACCCTTCGCACCCGTCGACTCAGATGTGAAGACCCTTGCTCATTTTTCACTACACCCGGACGCTGATGTAGCGCGCCACTAAGGAAGCGACGACCCGATCCTTGCTCACTTGACACCATGCCTAGATCGCGACACGACACGTCACCAAGGGGGTGCTGACCCAGCCCTTACCCATTTATCACCATACCCGGGTTCCGATATGGCGCGTCGCTAAGAGGGTTACGCACCCAACGGTTTTCTTTCGGGTTTCATCTCCATTAGAATGACTAGATTTAACGTTGGCTCGCCACACCTATCACAACCATTCTCCTTTACCGGGGCTTAGGACCTGCTATGTTGAGACAACATATATAGGCGGAGTTGAGTTTTCTTACAATGTCATACTAAAGAATTCAAGCTGAAATGAAATCTCCATCTGTCGTTGTTCTTAAAGACCCACTTGCAAACACTAATGAGTTATATAGTTCCCTAACAAGCAACTTGCTAACACTAATCAATTATACAGTTCTCTAACAAGCTAACACTAATGAGTTATACAGTTCCCTAACAATGCAAGCAGGGGCAGAGCAAGGCGTCGGGAGGGGCCATGCCCCCCCACCCCAAAAAAAATAGCACAATTTTTAAACTTAATATATATAATTTAATAAACTATATTTGTTTTAGAAAGATACGATAATTTTTTTGTCGTATACATTTTTTGATGTTTTATGGACTACAAAATCACACAAAACACAATTAGAATAGAATATTTTGATTTATCTAAACTTGTTTTCCTGTTGAGACTCTATTTCAATTAATATTTGTTATAACTACTTGTTTCAACTATGATTCGTGATGTTCTGTTGAAAACTTTGGATCTAGATCACATTGAAAACTGAATACAATGCTTTCCGATGAAATTTATTTCACTTTTCAAAGCGGGACACTGCCTATATACTTGTCCATGCCTCTACATAGAGCATTCTGGGGAAAGAAAACTAAGCAAGCCAGCCTACCTGCTAGCACTAGGAATAAAAGCTCTGATGTGTTTATTTCACTTATTCAAATCCACCCTGCCTACATTTCTCCATGTCTCTATATAAACCATTCCGGGGAAAAGCCTACCTACTAGGAATAAAAGCTCTGGCATGTGGCCTTCATCCAGAACTCACAACTGGCAAGGTCTTTGGAGTTAGCTCACCCTCACGAGATAGCGACCTTTTGTTCTGCCCATTGTAGCACGTGTGTCGCCCAGAGCATAAGGAGCATGATGACTTGGCCTCATCCTCTTTTTCCTCCCGCTTAACACCAGGGGTCTAGCTATTCAGGGTTCCAAACTCATAGTGGCAACTAAACACGAGGGTTGTGCTCGTTGCGAGACTTAACCCAACACCTCATGGCACGAGCTAACGACAGCCATGCACCACCTGTGTCCACATTCACAAAGTTTGTAACGTCGATGACAGATGGGGCCAAAGACACGAGAATGCTTCTGATCGCACACGAAGATGTCACGTGTGCCCTCGGCGACGAGCGCGATGCGCAAGATATGTCGCAAGGAGAGTCTTGTCGGGAGCGAGCCCGACAAGAACCTTGTGCTCGCTGTTGCAACGAAGTAGCCGGCAAGGAAGAACAAGTAAAAACTAGGTAGAGAGAAAATAGTAGATACGAAATAATGTAATAGATTTGTTTGTGTGATTGTGCGTTGTCAATGGGTCTTTGCCCTTCGTACATATATACGGTGTCTGGTCCTTGACAAAGCAAATCTACATTGAAAAGGAATCCGTCATGGCCACGTCCAAATATTTTCCAACGCACCAACTTGACCAAAGCAATGCCTCGGCCAAATAAATCTCCGTATAAAACTTCACGTGCTTCTGATTGGCTACGGAAGGAAATAAATCCTAGCTCAACCGGACTCGGGTTCAACCAAGCTGCATATTTCCGATTGATGCTGGATTTCTGAACTAACATCTTGTCCACGCTGTCCTTTTCTTTATGATCAGACTCCAGCAGGCAAAAATATGCCGGTACATGTTCCATGTCGGACTAAATTAACCCTCCTCGCATTTGATCGCACCCAAGTAGGCCGGCCTGCAAAGCGCCCCTGTTGCTGCTCCTATGTTCCGTTCATGATGTGCAGTTATTTTGGGGTAAAGGGAGTACATGGTATATTTATAGAATACTGTTGCTTGGTAGTGATCCTAAGAAGAATATCGGTGGTCAACCTATGATGAATGCATGTTAAACTTCTTTTACCAAACTCTACACATTGAACATCACTCATCTATTCCCTCAAAAAAACATCACTCATCTATATCCTGTTGCATGATACATGGTACATGCCTAGTAGAGGAAATTATAGGGCGTTTGGTTCGAGAGATGAGTTAGCCCATTATCTACTTATGCCATGTTCGCTTGACTGATAAGTCATGACTGAAAGTACTGCTGGCTGATTTGTTGTGAGAGAAAAATATTATTCGTTACTGAAAAAGTATGGCTTATAAGCCAAGTGAACAGGCGTTATTCCTCACTTTTTTTTGTTTGGTTCGTGGAATAGAATATGCCTAGTTGAGAAAATTATAGGGTTTTGGTTTGAGGAATGAGATAGTCCATCATTTACTTATTCCTTACTTTTTTTATTTAGTTTGTGGAATAGAATAGATTGATGCATCATCACCTCATTCTTCATAAGCTAATAATTAGTACTAGTACGGGAAATGGAGACATCACACCAAATTTGAGGAATGGACTCACGATGCATCACCTTATTATCTAGGATGGAGTGGCTCCTCAAACCAAACACATTAAGCACCCACTGCATGTCCAGCTGATAAGGTTAAGCACCCCTAGGCCCTCACTAGTATGTCATCAAGATATTTGATTAAAAATGCTTTTGTTTGTTAAAAATGCAAGATGTGAAATGCTTTTGATTGTAAAAAATGCAAAGGTCCACACAATTTCTGGAAAAAAGTAAAGTTCAGAAGTTTCACATGTCAGGGAGTTACCATACTGCAATTAACAAAATCTGAAACAATCATGCAGGATGGAACAACACAACAATTTGTTTCAATGATTTAGTCACACACAACAAAGCAACATCCATCAAATGTCTATAACAATTTAGACATTCATCTCTAAGTGGTAATCTCTTTTATCCATGCACCTTTGATGGCACCTAAGCCAATGTCAAGCCTGATCCCTTTTATCCATTTACTGAGCAAGCTAAGACCATTTTATATATATCTGAATTTCTGGTGGCTCTCAAGCCTATCATGCGCATGCACTTTCGCTCTACAGTCTGTAGAGCAGCTAGCACGGTGAAATGGTGAAAACTACCGCTGTAGTCTGGAACCATGGACAATGCTCTCAAACTTATAGAGGATGATGTATCTCATGGCCTGCACTCCTGCCTCAAGCAAGAGTATTCAATTTTGATTGGTGCTCCGTACAATAGTGCAATCAAGAGTATTCAATTTCAAGATTTTGGCTTGTGCTCAATACAATAGTGTAATTGTATGACCCTGCCTGACATGAGAACATAGACCAAACTAATTTTATTTTTCTTTCTTCATCTAATAGGTATGTTCTTTTATGCCCCAGTTCAAGCACGGCTACCATATACTGCTAACAAGAGCAAAGCAGTAATTGAGGTGATTGGTTCGGCATAAGTTCATCCCATTAATTTTGGTAAACAGCTCCTTTTATTGTGCTTATATATGCTAATTATTATTAGCTTGTGAGAATATGGGGGGGGGATCAACTCATTAGTCATGTGTTCAGTAATATGGAGACAAGACACTTGCAGTGAAACTTCGTAACAAGTGTTACCTTTCATGCAACTCACAAGTTGTCTTCAGGTATAATTCGATCATCTAAAAGACTCAAAAACTGTGTAAATGACAGAATACCGGCTTCAAAAGGTTTTGGCCTCAGAGCTGCGTGCTACACAACCCAACAGTAGCGCATTTTCTTCTCTCAACGTCACAGCAAATAAGGCGTGTATGAATCCCATTAGGTTAGACATTGCATTCATCTTTCATGCTGTTAAATCCTTGCTGCTAGATAACTGGATGATTTGGAGGAATGGTACAGATAGCACATCAACCATTCAAGAGTCTTCAGGTCCAAACACGAATAGAGCCATCCACAGAAGATGTCAACATGCAGGCCTTCGTTGGGTGGTAACTGATGCTAGTTACCTGCCAAAAGAAATAGTGTTAGGTACATGTATGTTAAGTTGTTGCACAGCATAAGGTGCAATTCTGGAAAGGAAAATACCACAGAACTATGTGCCCTGAATCTTGCAACAACAGGTGCATCCACTAACTCCCAGAAGAAAATATAACCATCTTCAGATCCGCCGACAACAAATGCATCATCATTCGTCAGACAAGAATCCATCTTGAAGGACTGGAAATATTATAAATCAGAAATTAAACAATGCAAACGAATAGGATTACTGTTTTTTCTTGAAGGACTGGAATATTATAAATCAGAAATTAAACAATGCAAACGAATAGGATTACTGTTTCTTCTGCAAACCCTTGCATCATTGAATCATAATGGTATATTTAGGTTTTTCAGCTCTAAAGCAAGCCCTCTGCTCTCCTTTTAATGAATTAAGCAGACTAGCAGTGTTTCTCTACTTCATCCACTACAAATTTAATGAGGCGTCGTGGTTCACTATTTTACACAACTGTATACATTTCCTCCATTCTTATGTGAAACTTGTCAGATTAAGTTGAAATCAATGTAAGTATCCATAAGTACCAAATCTTTGGCAGTATCACAAATGAAGATTAATGAAGAGATACCTTGCACGTATGTCCCTTATACTCCTGTAACAGTTCTCCAGATGACCTAATAAACACAACAGACATAAAAAATTTAATATTTTGTGCATGATGCCCCTCTATTTAGTACATTGAAGAGATGGCACCAATCTACTCAACAGAACGGAAAAATCACCACTTCTGTCCGTATCATGATGGAAGATAATATGATGAGAAATTGTACCACACATAATTCACATTCATAGTTTTTTTTGAAAGCTACTTTACATTCATAGTTAGTGATGCACTCCTAAACTTGCTATGGAAATAACAAAGATGAAAACCACCACTTATGATCCTAATATCATTTATTCCTTTCCTCCCCAGACAGCAGCAGATGTCAATGATGAATGGGCAATGGGGCCATCATAATGCGGACTCTCAAAGCACAAGAAAATCGTTCTTGGTAGTTGTGTGGACCAAAACATGAAGACATGGCTCCTGATTGTAATGGCATTGGAATTCAAGCATGATGATCTTCTGATGCACAGGAACACACAAAGTAAATATTAGCATGTGATTGGTTGCAGAGACCAAGAAAAATGGTCCATTTAACTTGCTAGCTACCCAAGAGAGTACATGTTTCAATAGTGCACATCGCGGACCTCGCGGGCGTGGGACTTGTAGGTCTTGACGTGGGCGCCGGTGTGAGGGTTCCAGAGGAGGAGCGTGCGGTCCTTGCCGCAGCTCAGGCAGTAGTTGCCGTCCCGGTTGAACCGCACGGCCAGCACCGCCCCCTCGTGACCCGACAGCGACCGCGCCTCCGTCCGCGGCAGCTGCTGCGCGGCCGTCCCCGAGGACGTCATCTCTTGCTCTGTCTCCGCCGCCGCCGCCGAGGATGGGATGGACGGAAGACGACGACCACCGGAAGAGATGAATAGTGGGCCGGTGATGTGGATTGGGCTGGCTAAATGGAATGTAGCCCGTAGCCCACGAGAGAATTATAGCTGAATAATACTTGTCCTTCCTAAGGAAAAATGAATATCGCTTTTGTTCTTTAACAGTTTAATTAAAAAATTCCCAAAAACTTTTAACTTTCTTAGCATTAATCTATTTCCATGTTTGTAGTAACCCTAAAGAATCTCGATGAACGCACTACATCAGATATGGTTTTTAGGGGCGGCTAATAAGCATTTGTAGGGGCGGTTCGGCTAGCCGCCCCTACCATACCGTCTCTATAAATCATGCATTTGTAGGGGCGGTTTTCAGACCCGGCTGGTACTGTAGCCGCCCCTACAAATCGATTTATAGGGGCGGTCTGGGAACACGTTCCGCCAAAAAAAATTTAAATTTACAATTTAAATTTGACCAGAACATATATTTTTCATGTACAACTTCATCATGACTTATCTTCTTCTACGATTGTACTAAAACTCAATGACAAGACACATTTATTTATACCAGATTATAACAAATATTCCATGACAATACACGGTGTAAATTATTGTGCTTGCTGTTCATTTGCATTCCACAGCCCCACCCTCACCCTCACCCTCACCCCTGATTCATTGTCACTATTATCAAGTCGTCCAACTAAAATGCAACTAATCACAGGTGGGGTCTGAGGAAGAGTGTCAGTGGCAAGCTTTACCCTCGCCTGTGCAATGCGAGGAGACCGCGACTCGAACTCGGGACCTTCCGGTCAAAGGCGGTAAGACTCCGGATTGCTCACCTTCGCGTGCTATCATCCGCCTTTTCGCTGGACCATGGATGTTGATGCTCGCTGGTAGAGATCACCCCACCGCTTGCAGCCGTAGCTCCACCCGGAATGTGGCTCCGCCCGCCTTAGCTTTGCCCGGCATCTGGCAAAGGAGGAGGTGCCGAGGACAATGATTATCCATTCCGAACAGTTGGAATGAAACACAGACTGCATAGGAATGATCTTGTTCAATTGATAAAGCCCAAGGGCATACCACTGATCTTTGATTGATGAAGCCCGGCACAGACAAACAGACGACTATTCCTATAAAGAAATACATGTAAACAAAAGGCTAAATTGCGTGCAAGGAATCATCATATAGGTGTCAAAAATATAGATATGAATGAGCTACCTCCATATTTGCAACAAAAGGCTAAATTGCCTAATTAGGAGCACATTGTTGCCTAACAAATGACAATTAAATTGCCTAACAAATGACACTTAATTTGCCTAAGAAAATGGTTATGTTTCTCTTTTATGTGTGTGTGATCATACCTCGTTGCCGCCATTGGATGCTGGCGCACACACTCCATGAAACCTCTGCCCTCTAGGCATTGTATGAAGAACTATCCCTGTAAATGCATGCACAAAAAAGAGCTGATGTCATTACATTTGTATATAGCAGGAAGCAAAAACATTACAGTTAAAATGCCTACAATATGAGAACACAACAAAGGGCAACTAGCTCAGAAATCAGAAACTCACATGAAGAAAATATGGGTAATCAGCCAGCTCGGCTACAATTATTTGGTTGTGGCTGCAGCTTATTGCAGTTATACCTACAGTATAGTCTAGTTTACTTTTGCAGCCAAAATAGCAGTAGCCAGCCGCAAGAAGCTGCATTTTCTTAGGCAATTTAAGTGTCATTCATTAGGCAATAATGTCTTCTTAAAGCAAGTATAGCGTCTGTGTCATTTGCAACCCACAGCCCCCAGATGACTCACTCATTGATCAAGCTTCCAATTCAATATGGCAGTTGTAGGTTAAAACCGGCAGTGATATACTTATTATAGAAACAAAAAAATGCTCTGCATGATCTATAGTACAGGGCACATACATACGTACATCACCTATCTCTGGTATTAATCGCAATTAGTTCAAAGAAAGCAATCAAAAGTGAAATGGAATAGTAACAATAGCAACAAGTATTGTATAACTAAATTTGCAAGTAAAAAGATAAATTCATCCATCAATCAGAAAAGAATGTGCAGATCCATACATAAGGTCGATGCATAGGGCCTCTAACTAATAACTAGTACTATATCATTACTGCTTATGCTAGTGATGTACAGAGCCTAAAGAGATAAACTAGCAGCTGCACTTTTCACCTGAGAATTCAAGCCACGCAATTTAATACCTTGCTGTTGCTACACTTGTCGCTGAACAGATGCTAGCTACTGTTGTCGTCCACAATAGAAAAAGCCAGGCTCGAGCTGTTGCTGCTGAAAAAGACAGTAGGGAAACCCATCAAAAAAGAACATAGTGTTGCTGAAACTGCAAAGTTGCACTAAAATGCCTTTCCTGAGATAAGCCACTCACATTACTGATATTGCTGAACAGAGATAAGCCACTCACGTTACTACCCTGCAGTTGCAGTGCTTTGGTGCTGCACTTGCCAACGGGATTCGCCAGCCCCGCACTTGCTGTTGTGATGCCGCACTTGCAGTCTCCCTAGAAGTGCTAACGTAACTTAATTATTATGTGACGTAAACCAAAACTGATAGCAAGTAGAATGCCACGCTAATTAACCGAAAAGCAAGGAAAAAATAAAAACAAAGAATGCGAGGCAACTGATTACTCAAATCATGCATGAGCTAGCATGGACACCTTGTAACTAGCTTCATCTAATTCATTAACTACGTACTGCACTACTGAGTTGCAACTTGCGAGTACTTGGTTCTGCAGCCGATTGCACTTGTCATTCAACAAACTAGACTAGATAAGTATGGAACAATTCAACAACCGATAAACTTCAGGCTGCGCTAAAATAGTACATGATACAGTTGTGTATACAGCAAAAACAGTATCATTTGTTCATCTGAAACTTGGTTCAAAAACATATTCTGTGATCCACCAAATTAATCAAGCTATAAGGCACAACAGACAATCCACAAAATGCTCTGCCTACTGCATTCAATCGACATCTAGTAGACTATCTAAGTATTTTTGGTGCTTTCCAATTAGCCTGATAAGCTAAATCCCTAGTAAAATTTTACGAAACCCTAGTCAAATTTTACACATTACAATTCCAGATCTATGCTGATCCAAAGCATTCCCCATCAAATCAATCGTTCATTCTACTATGTAGTATGTACGCATGGAGTTATCAGATTTTTAGCAAAAGAAAAAGGAGAGGGAGGGCGTACCATACCTGCTCATGCTGAGCTATGCTCGTGGAGGCAAGGCGTCTGATCAAGTTCAGGCAGCAGATTACCTAACAAAAGTGACAGCATGGATATGATGCAATTTGCTAAACCTATAGAGCACAGTATGGATCACGGCAGGACTAGCAAGCAGGCATCTAAGCTCCAGATCCGTGAGCAGCTGCCTCACGATCCCATCCACAGGTCCGGCGTAGGCTCACCGCCGCTCCTCGAAACCCCACCCACCCCTTCAAGATTTAGAAAGCTCTGCCGGATCTGGTGGGGGTGGCGTGAGGAGAGAGCAATCGAGGAAGCCGTGATGCAGGCGGAGGAAGAAGAAGAAGCGGAGATGGGGATAGCTCGAAAGCGAGTCACCTCGCCCCTAAAAAAATTTGCCCATTGGAGGGACGGAAGGGCATGCTGGCAATAGTATGTTTGTTGTGCGGTTGGATTATCTAGCGGCGATTTGACTGTGATGGTGGCATATCAGCTGAGCGTGTAGCTATCACAGAGTGGTATATCGCCGAGGAGGGACAGGCGCTTACCCTCACAAAATGAAGGTGCTCCATATACCCTTCATTAAAATTTGTTTTTTTGTGAAATACTCCATTCACCGTAGTATTGCCTCCCCGCGACCACTACTTTTATAAGGGTAGCCATCGAGCTCATCCTCGCCTGTCGCACCCGCTTGCCGATCCAGGCTCGTCCTCGCCGGATCAGGCTTCTCCTCGCCAGATCTGGTGGGGGAGAGGGAGGGGCGGCGTGGGGGAGAGACGGAGGGGCTCGGAGGAGAGGGAGAGCGAGGGAGAGAGAGATGGAGTCGAGACGGAGAGAGAGAGAGAGGAGGAGGACATCGAGATATTTTGGACGGTTCACTTAGTTAGTGTCACGTGGGGCATTTGTACCGGAAGGCGGCGGCTCAATCACTTGCCACTAACACCCTTCCCAAACCGCCCTTACAAATCGGAGTGAGTTATCACGTGATTCAAACACCTAATGGATGGGCGGTGGTGAGTGAGCCGCCCATACAAATTCTACTCATTTGTAGGGCGGCCATCGTATCACAATCGCTCCTCGTTGTTTCATTTGTAGGGCGGCTGGTCGACATCTGTGGATCCCGAAACATCCACGTCATATTATAGTTCAAAGGCGGGTCTAGTTCCAAATACATTGCTGGATCTTAGTCATGCCCTACGAGAAAAAAAAATTTGTCCTATTGTTAAAAACCGTTTTTCACGTAGTGACGGAGGCACGGAGCCTTATCATGCATGGCAATAGTATGTTTGTGGATAAAAGTGTGCAGATTGGATTATCTAGACAAACTCACAATTTAATTTGTGATGGTAACCATGCATATCATCTACAGTCACGTGTAGCATCACTATCACAAAATAGAGATTTTTGTGAGAGTGTTATATTTTCATGAGAAATGATGAACATATTGTCATGTTTTTTTTTGGAGGCGCTTAGAAACCCTCACAAAAATGAAGGTGCTCCATATACCCTTTATTAAAATTTGTTTTTTTTGTGAAATACTCCATTCACCGTTATGAAAATTGCAAATTTCCGCCACAAAAACAGTGGCACCACTACTTTTATAAGGGTAGCCATCAATCTCTTGTCCTTTTTTCACATCGCTTCCCTTTATTTCTTCTTTTTTTCACATAGCTCATTTAGCTTTTGCACCTAGCAGGCCAAAAAGATTGTGTTAGTTTCACTAGACCACCACACGTGTCATTTATGT